CGCCATTTTTTCTACCCATTATAGGCCTAACTCTCTTGGGCTCTTATATATATATATATATATATATATATATATATATATATATATATATATATATAGTAGATATAAATAATAATTTAGTAGCTACAACAAAAAATTATAGATATGCATTTCTTTAATTTAGAATTATGTGTCCACAATGCCTTTATTCAAAAAAAATTATTCATTATCAATAAATTAAATAAGAGAAATAATTGTATTAGTTATATTGTCTTTATTTTTCTACAATATAAAAATTCTTTATAATCAAATTTATTAATTGATTATATTCGCTACATTGTCCTTACAATGTCTTAATTTAGTGAAAAAAAATATTTTTCATTATCAATAAATTAATTAAGAGAAATATTTTCATTAGTTATATTGCCTTTATTTTTCTCAAATGTAAAAATTTTTACATTCAAATTCATCAATTGATTATATTCACTACATTGTCTATTATCTTTTTTTTGTGCACTATTTTTCTAATTAAATATCAAAGTTATAATACAAAATAATGCTATATATTTATTTACCAAGTATTTTATTAATACCATGAAAAAATTAAAAAAATATATAATTAATAAAGCCAACCATATTAACTACTTGAGAGATTTTGTGACAAAGAGAGTATTCAAATCACACAACAAATTGAAGTGAGAACTACCCTGCAATGTCCTTGTTTGACAATCAGCAGTTAGCGGATTATATTAGCGGATTTGACCAACAAATTTATTTAATTATTAACATTGGGTAGAAAAAATGACCGCCAAATTATTAAATCAAATGAATGGTTCAAATTGTTCAGGTTTTAATTTTTTTTTAAAATTTTTCTAATTTATCCTTAATTATATGATTATCCATTTAACTTTTCTGTTAAATACCGTTAATTCACCGTTAGTCTAATTCTAATATTAACGTCTAATATAGAATTATAATTACACCATTAATCTAATTCTAATATTAAAGTCTTAATAGAACTTAACCACAAATCTTAATGTCGAAATCTCCCCAAACAATATTAGTATATATTTAATATTTTATGCCCTAATTTTTATTTGTTCTCCCTTATGTCCCGTATTTGGTTTCAACCATACCTATACAATTATTTTATTGACAATTATAATCAATCTTGACTATATTATCTTGCATTTGTAAACTTAGAATTACCTATTTAACCCGCACGGGCTTAGCTCAATGGTTTAGTGGGCAGTATTTGGGAGAAGAGACCAAGGTTTGAACCTCGGCGGCGGCAGTGCGGGAATTATGTCCAAAGTGGGCAGATTCCTTGTTCGCACCGGCATTTGGTCCTGTCTGCTGAACCATTGAGTCACCGTGATTTACAACTTCCTACAATGCTCTGTCGGGTCAGAGTGTGGGGGGCCCTTGGGGTAGGGGACTCAACCTTTGGGAGAAGAATTACCTATTTAAATACGCAAATTCAACCTTCAATTATCTATGCATGAACAATTTCAATATAATCTTGCCTTAATATACTTTAAAGTACTTATTTAAAAAAAAAAACATTGGGCATTATCCCAATCGCGCAATGCGCATAAAAAACTAGTATATATATATACTAATAAGAGACCAAGAGAGTTAGGCCTATAATGTGTAGAAAAAATGGCGGTCAAATTTTTTAATCAAATGAATGACTCAGATTGATTAGATTTTAATTTTTTCTTGAGATTTCCTAATTTATCCTTAATGAATATGATTATCCGTTAACTTTTCCGTTAAATATTATCTTTTCTGTTAATTTCTGTTAGTTCACCGTTAACTTACTCATTGATTTCAATAAGAAAGGTCTTAGGTTCGAACCTCATTCCAATCAAAGTTGACATAATTAGTACTATATTTTACTCTTATTAAATTAAATAATAATTTAGTAGCTACAACAAAAAATAATACATATGCATTTCTTTAATTTAGAATTATGTATCTACAATGCCTTTATTCAAAAAAAAATTATTCATTATCAATAAATTAAATAAGAGGAATAATTTCATTACTTATATTGTCTTTATTTTTCTCCAATATTAAAATTCTTTACATTCAAAATTTAAATTCATCAATTGATTATATTCGCTACATTGTCCCTGCAATGTCTTTATTAAAAAAAAATTATTCATTATCAATAAATTAATTAAGAGAAATAATTTCATTAGTATATTGTCTTTATTTTTCTCCAATGTAAAAATTCTTTACATTCAAATTCATCAATTGATTATATTCACTACATTATTTATTATCTTTTTTCGTGCACTATTTTTTAATTAAATATCAAAGTTATAATACAAAATAATGTTATATATTTATTTACCAAGTATTTTATTAATACCATGAAAAAATTTTAAAAAATTAAATTAATAAAGTCAATCATATTAACTACTTGAGGGATTTGTTGACAAAGAGAGTATTCAAATCACACAACAAATTGAAGTGAGAAACTACATCGCAATGTCCTTATTTGACAATCAGCAGTTAGCGTTTAGCATTAGCGGATTTGACCAGCGAATTATATCAATGGTTGGTAAAAAGATATTTGAAAAAATTAGTTGTTTAAATTAACATTTAAAATGACCTAAGGGTATAATAATAATAATAATTGTTTTAATAGTAATTTTTTTTTAAAAACTATAGATGTGTTTTGGGGAAATCATTCTCAAAAACGCTAAGTGAAAATATTGTAAATTGCAATGTTTGTATTTTCAGTAGTTTGGAACAAATTATTGCTTCAAATTGTTGAATAACCAAAATACTTTCTTTAGCATTTTGATCTTTGGATTACATCATATTTACCAATTGTCCAATATATTTGGGTTACATTATAATTAAAAATTTTAATTTTTACTACATCTAAATTAATTCCTTAAATTAGGAACTTCTTTATCCATAATAATTTATTCAATAATAATGGTTGAATAAAATGAACACTGAGCAAAACACCTAAAGGACTGGTATCGTTGAGTCATTCATTGGTCTTGTATATATGCGCATTCATTAAATATATTAGAACCCTTTGCAACAAAAATACTTGGTTACTATTTTAAAAAAATTTAGTAATAATTTATAATGAATCTCCTATATTACATTGTATTCATATACTATGAATTACATATTCAAATAAACAAATTAGACATTAAATTACTTATGTTGAACTTCTCATATATAATCTTGCATTGATATATATACTTTCAAATATTTATTTAATTAAAAACAATGGGTAGAAAAAATGACCGTCAAATTATTAAATAAAATGAATAGTTTAAATTGTTCAGATTTTTATTTTTCCTTGAGATTTTCTAATTTATCCTTAATTATATAATTATTTGATCCGTTAACTTTTCCATTAAGTACTGTTAATTCACCGTTAGTCTAATTCTAATATTAAAGTCTAATATAGAATTATAACTACAACATTAATCTAATTCTAATATTAAAGTCTTAATAGAACTCTAACCACAAATTCGGCAAATTATGCCGTGCGCACGTGCCCACCTTGCAAGGTGGGCATGGTTCCATATCTATAATTTCTATACTGTAGATTCATAATTTCTATACTGTAGATCCATAATTTCTATACTGTAGATTCATAAAATTTATACTTTATATTCCAATTGTTGAACTTTGTTTTCACAAATCAGACAACTATATGTTCATAATTGATAACTATACAGTTTAGAAATTACGAATTTACATTACAAAAATTATGAATCTACAGTACAAATATTATGAATCTGCAGTATAGAAATTATGAATTTACTGTATAGAAATTATGAATATACTGTATTTAAATTATGAATCTACGGTTTAGAAATTATGAATCTAAAGTATAGAAATTATGGATCTACATTATAGAAATTATGGATATGGAACCGTGCCCACCTTGCAAGGTGGACACGTGCTCACAGCATAACGCTCCTACGGTCGGAATTTTCTCAAACAATATTAGTATATATTTAATATTTTATGCTTTAATTTTTATTTGCTTTCCCTTATATCCCGTATTTGGTTTCAACCATACCCATACAATTATTTTATTGACAATTATAATCAGAGCAAATCTCAATTTTAGTCCTACGAGTATTAATAAAATGACAAATTTAGTCCACGTGTTTAATTCATACTAAAACTCATCCCATAACTATTGTTTTACTACCAAAGTTAATCGCTCCGGTCACCAGAGATGTTAAAACACGCCGGATTTTTAAAAGAATAAGGGTACTTTTGTCCATTTGAACATTGGTTGTAATGGTTTGTGTTTGTGTTGGTGTTGTAATGGTCTGTGTTGTTAATGGTATGTCCAGATTGTACAGATTGTTCAAAAACTAAGACCATAGTAGTGTTTGTGATACCATTCCTAGGAACCTAATTAGTGTTCAAATGGAACCCTGGACAAAAGTATCATTATTCTTTTAAAAATCCGGCATGTTTTAACATCTCCGGTGACCGGAGTGATTAACTTTGATAGTAAAACAATAGTTGTGGGATGAGTTTTGGTAGGAATTAAATATGTGGACTGAAATTGTCATTTTGCTAATACTCGTGAGATTAAAATTGGTATTTGCTTATTATAATCAATCTTGACTATATTATCTTACATTTGTAATTTGTAAACTTAAAATTACCAATTTAAATACGCAAATTCAACATTTTAACTATTTATGCATGAACAATTTCAATATAATCTTGCCTTAATATACTTTAAAATACTTATTTACAAAAAATATTGGGCATTATCACAATCGCGCAATGCGCGTAAAAAACTAGTGTATATATAAACACACACCAATGACACCATATATGCTAATTAATACTCACAAATATTCTATCATAAATAAATATAAATACGCTAACTATCATATATATTCTCTAATACTCTACATAGAAAACAATAAAGAATGAAAAATGAGATAAATGAGTTAATTTTTTTTTTTTTTTTTTTTTACAAAGGACGGTGTATAAATAAAATAAATAAATAAAACGAGTTGGTTCGCCACCAGAGGGGGAAAAAACAAGCAAACCCAAGCCGGAAATCGCTACGGGTATCGACAACCACCATCACTATAGGCTATAGCCAACCGCCATCGCTCTTCACCTGCGCTCAAACATCAAATTTTGAACGGAGATAGGAGAGGAGAGCTTTGAGTTGAGAAAATATGGCGATGAGAGACCTGGTGACTGGTGGCGCAGCCTGTGCCGTGCCTGGTTCTTCTTCCTCCAATCCCTTTGGGGCGCTTGCCAACACTCTTATCGGCTCTTCATCAAAGACTCAGGTCTTGTTATTTCCCCCTTCTTTATGCCTTGACTTAGCAGGATATCTACTTATTATTCCAAATTCAATCAATTCTACTACGTTTGTGCTGAATTTAGTGCTAATTTAGTTAAACTTCGCTCGAAATCTAACTTTCATGATAAGTTTCTTATGTTTGCATCTGAGCGGATATTGTATGTTCAAATTCTCTTGTGTTTATGTCAGGAAAGTAGTTTTTTGCATCCTTCAGGCATCATAAGTGATCTGATTTCTATCCCTTTATAATCTTTTGTATTCGTGGATACCGTGCTCACCGTTGTGAACAGAGTTTTATAATCTTTGCCTACTTTAATGTGCTGCATTTGGAGTATAATTGTAGGGTATGTTTAAATTGGAACATAAATTTCAAGGATATGAATTAAATTAAATTAAATTGATTCATCTGGCTGAGCAGGAAAGATTGAAGGAGATCCCCACATCAGTGTCTACACCATCTGATGGCAACTTTGGTGTTGGATTCCAAGAGCCACTTGCAACTCTTCCGGGGTCAGAGATTGATCATCCATTTCAACCTAATCTGCAGGTTAATATAAAGACAAATTTTCTAGGTCTACACAGTTAGGTGGAGATTTGCATTTGGATATATATGTTGAGTTACTGTTAATTTGACTCTCAGGGATCAGAATTCCTTGAAGGCTTTCGCACTGCTGATCAGAATAGCTTTGCAGATGTATGGGATGGGATACAAAGGCCTCAACTTCCTCACTCTAATTTTCCTTTGGACAACTCTCAACTTCAACCGGAGTTGAATGGTGCACTAGCATATCACTTGCTCTGTTGTCATCATTGATTTATTTGCTTGTGTGTTCATTTGTTTTTTTTCAGGAGGGAATGGGGAACTATCTTGGCATTCTTAGCATAACATCAGTGCATTTTATGCTCTAAAATTTATTTGGTATTCCAACTTTAGTTGGGGATAAGTGGGAGAGCCTTTACCTGATTCTTGTTTATGGTTTTCCAGTGACTCCCTAGAATCTATGAAGTGGCAACTGGCATAACTAATAGAAGTCACAAAATATAGTTGAACTTTCAAGACCTCAACAAAAAGGAAACCTAAAATGTCCTGGCTCCCTCGCTGCATCTATTGCCTTAAGCATGAACGTTGTGCATTGTTTTAATATCTTTTTACTATGAGTTCACATAATGCTTGGCTTTGCAAAGTTTAGCAATAGTCTCTGGATAGGTCAAATTGACACTCTTTCTGAATGTGGTTGGGTAAATTGTGCTTGTTAATCATGCAGGGCCACCTCAAAGAGTATTGTCGAACTTTTTGCACTCATTTGTTAATAGCAGCCATGGTGGAATTCCTTTCCGTCCTGCTTCACTTCCAGTATTAGGATTGTCCCAAGGTGAAAAACAATGCATCAGGGATCGTAGCACTATCATGGCTCGGCATTTTTTTGCCGATAAAAATGAAGACTTCATAAATGCTCAGGTTTGGATTTCTATTCCTGTCAAGCTACATAATAGGGTTCATATTGACATCATTTCATTTATTAAAGCACTGGTGTTAAATAATCTTGTCTTAACCTTTTCTGTGATCACCAACCTGTCTTAAATTTTATGGAATTAGATGAGATAACTCAGATAAGTTAATAACACCACAATACCACATACCTTCAATCCGTAGAGGATGATACATTTCTTTGTTTCATACTGGCATTATAGTTTTGCAATATGAAAAGTATCATAGACTGCAGAACAATCAAAAGTTTACTATTTGAAACAAAGTTATTAAAAGCGGTTGCCAAGGAGTATCACTCTACTCTGGTGAAGTGGCACTATACAATGTTGTAAAATTGCTAGGAGCGGGCGTTTGATGGGTGCCTAGCGCCTAGGTGCACAATTTTTTATTTTTTGTTGCATGTGGCATCCTTGTTTTTTAGACTTCTAACAAGTATTCTTCCCATAAAATATACCCCGTAAATGTTTAATAGCACATGATACTCTAAAAACACATAACACTCTAACTATAACACATACAAATGAAACAAACAAAATTAAAAAATAATAATAATGGCCGTCTAGTTGGCCCATTTTCCCATTATTCCCTTCGACCTATGGGCTTCTAGTGCCTAGTCGGTCACGTAGGTTGATTTTTATAACACTGGCACTATATGAAGAAGTGGTTGCCTCTGACCAGAGTGACAGTGAGAGTGAAGTGCCCTTTTCCAGCAAAAGCGAGTTCAAACGGTCAACAAAAAAGCTAGGGTTTAAATAAAAGTAATTCTTGTTAGAATTAGAAGAGATGAGCCAGACATTCATCTTCTCCTGACTCCAGCAGCTTCTGGAGTTCCGGTGACTCAACTGCCCTGTCATTGCCCACTCCTGACAAACTTTTGGCTTCTCCAGCAACAGTGCTTCAACTTCTTCATATCTTCTTCTTGATCTCTCTTCTTTAAGGGTTTTATTTATTTATTTATTTTAAGAATTGGATTTGAAAATCTCCAGCAACTTCATTGCTATGCAAGTACAGAACGTCAGCTTGAAGGAAAGGGAGTATGGCCATATGTTTTTGTCCTATATTCCCACTTGTCTCAACCACCAAGATTTATATATATCTATTTCTCTCTCTTTCTCTGGATGGGAAATCCTAAATGACTAGCACTCCTATTTATTACGGAGTATATATTATTAACAGATATGCTGTGTGGGTGTGTAAATAATTGCATTTATTGTTTGTTAAGTGATAATTATTTATAATATCAATTAATTGATTTTTGTAATAACTTAATATTAAACAAATACTTAATATTTAATAAGTGTTAGCTATTAACGAATAGCAATAATATTAAATAATTGTAAGTTTTTAACTTTTTGTTAGTAATATAATTAAATATTTAATTACTCAATCTCAAATATGTTTCTATAAGTAGATTTGATTTTTTGCCGCTTTGCGCTTTCGCTTTAAAGCAAAGCTATGCCTTTTCACCGTAAAAACTTTGGTTTGAAATCCTTTTGGTATGATCTATTTTAGATGATGTTTTATTCTTTTACCTAAATTTACATGTATTTTTACTTGCATTATTTCTCTCTCTATATTGACAAGCATGTTGATGTTTATTATTTCTCAGGTTAATGCACTGTTGTGTTCTCTAGATATCGATGCTGATATTAGGGCAAGGGGCCCTGTGCCTGGAAGATTGCCGGAGCTGGAGGATTATTGGAATGAGTCACAGGGTATTAAAACCATGCCTCAAGTCGCGGATAGCTGGGCTGCCGAGTTTGGGCAACATCACATGAATCCAGACACCAATGCTTGGGTTCGATCTTTTGAGCAACAAAATGGTGTTAATGGGTGGGCTTCTGAATTTGAGCATGTAAGGAAGTATTATCAATTGTGGTATAATGGTGTGGTTTACTATTTGTAATTTGGTCTTCAGTCAACCCTATTGATTTAGGTGTGACTGAGAAGCTATGTCTGTTTAAAAGGTTTTAACCTAAAAGTGTTGGTTATTGATATCAAAGAACACAAACCAATGAATAATTTACACTGGTATTAGTATGAGGCACAATCACATATCTTCTGAATTGAGCTTTTCAGAAAGTTTACACAATGAATGTAATCTTTAGTTTACACAATGAATTGGGTTACACTGTTAATGTAATCTCTGCAGGAGCATTCCCAGCTTGGAATGATTGATCAAATGAGAGGTGCAAATATTCCTAGCTTAGCAGCAATGGAGCAAACACGCATGCTAGCTCACACATTAGCTCAAAACAGTGACCCCAAATTCCAGGTTCTTAAGATGCGTCGCTTATAACATTGTTCTGCATTTATGGTAGTAGCATAAATTGTCTAAGTTCTTTTTGCTACATGTAACCTTCCTAGTTACTGTACCCTCCAATTATTGGGAAATGAATAAAACAAAATATTCTTATTGATAATGCCTGTTGTTGAATGCAAGTGTTGGTAATGTGTTTGATTCTTTGAGTTGGATATTTCCACACACAATCCCCCCCCCCATTTTTTGGACATGGTGATAGCAATCAGCTGCATAATTTGTTCTGATTACTTGTTAGAGCTTGGACATTTGATAGATTTGATCCTATTCATTTAAATTTGAGGGATAGATGAGAATTTGGGGACATGATGTCGTTTTGGTGGGGGCTAATGTTTGGTGTGCATATTGTAAAACTTGTAGCTTGCATAAATAAAGCTGTCTCCTAGCAATGAATTGTGTGATAAGGGACAAATAAGACGTCATGGTTTCATCTGCTCCTTCCATTGTTCGAATTTCTTCCTCCTAAAATATTTTATATTTTGGTTCATATAGAATTCAAGGTTTCTCCAATTTGTTTCAAAGATGAGCCGTGGTGAAATTACCATTGAGGACAACCAAATTAAACCAGCTGTATCTGCACCTGGGGATTGGGCCGCCGAATACGAAGAACAATATAGTGGAGTTCAAACATGGGCAGATCAGTATGAGCGTGAGGGGGTAAGCATAAAATATTTTTTGAGTTTTTAATTGTTTCTTTCATAATCTTAGACGACTTTGATTTTATCATGTAAAGTTAAAAGGTGTGCTGCAATTGTGGGTTTGTTAGAATTAGATAAGGTTTTCAGGATAATATCTGCACTGTAGATGGTTCTCTACACATACTGATTGTAAAGCTTGCTGTTGAACCCACCTATATTTGGATGTAAATGGCCTGCATTGTGTTGTTTAGAGGTTTCTCTTATTTTCAGAATTGATCTTCAGGCTTTTAAAATGGGTGCTTATTTGCTTCATTTGCTCATTGTTATCTGGGGCCAGGATTTATTCATGCAATTATCATTTCATAGTTTTTAACTAACCTCATAGTTGTTTACAGTATATAAATTTCTAGCCTTATCCATTTTGTTAGGTTGATTAGTAGTGTAAAATAATTACTGGGTTCTCATTTTGTTTTGTTAAAAATATAAATTGCATTGCTTGCAGTTCTTTATATGACAAAGTAGGTCTTCATACAACTTGAAACTTATCTGTATGTTGGTTTCAGCTTTCTCATGGACCAAATGGGTGGGCAAATGAGTTCGCTGCTGAGCAAGGGCAACATGGATCAGTGAATGATGAATGGGTTAATGAATTTTCTAAGTTGAATGTCGATGACTGGGCTGATGAATTTGGTCGTCAGGTTGCTGAAGGAGCTTTGGGTGAAACTTCTGCTGATAACTGGGCTGATGCTTATGATGAGTGAGTGTTTTTGAAAAGTAATATCAAGGCTTTTCTTGTATTCTTCTATGGAGCAATTGGGGGTTGTTCTAGGTTTTTTGGTTTCATATTTTGATTTCTTGACATCTCATTAATAAAGGTCTAAACTCAACTAAACCTTAATCCCTCACTAGTTGGGTTTAGCTCTGTGGACTCTTCTTTATACTCCATAGAGCTATTGGGTGATGTTCCAGGTTGCGTGGTGTGGTTGATCTTTTTCTCCATGTTCTGTATAGCAATTGGGAGTATTCTAGGTTACCAGGCTTCATTTTTTAGATTTCTTGGCATCCCATTCATAAAATCCAGTTAACTAGCCTAGTAAGTATTAACCCCAATCTAGTCGGGTAAACTATATTGCTTGTATTGCTCCATCGACATCTCATAAGAGTTCTTAAATTGGCATGTCCCTTGACACCTTGTACTATTTTATTTTGTTGGTTTTCCATTCTCTTCTATGTTGCCAGTGTCCCTCTCCCCCTCCCGTTCTTGCTCTCATGGTAAACTTTGATTTAGACAGATTCCTTTCTGATTGCAGCTGTTATTTTTGGACAGGTACTTGAATGAGCAATCTGCATTGAAGCAACGATCAGAAACGTCAAGGGGGATTTATGAGTTTTCTGATTTAAACCCGTATGTTGGCCATCCTAATCCTCTAAAAGAAGGACAAGAACTATTTCGCAAGGGGCTTTTAAGTGAAGCAGTTCTTGCTTTAGAGGCTGAAGTCTTAAAGAACCCTGAGAATGCTGAGGGTTGGAGATTACTGGGTATAGCACATGCAGAAAATGATGATGATCAACAGGTTAATATTAGGTCTTGAATGCATTCATTGAATTCTATACCCTATTATTTAGTCTAAAATCGTCTGCCTTTTCCCTGTAGTGGCTTCAGTTTTCTATTTGCCAGCTTGTGAAAGGAAATAATGCTATAGGAATTTGTGATTATTATTATTATTTTTTTTGAAAGGAATTTGTGATTATTTCTTCCTTCTTGAATTCCATTTTGTCACTTTGTCGGAGTCCTACAAAGAATCAGGATAATGTTGTGATACACACACAGTGTGAACTTTAAATAATAACATACAATTCCATAAATAAACATTTTTGCAGACAGCTTAAATACAAGCTTTTATTGATACAATCAGATTTTGTATTCTTATGGTTAATCATCTTGTCACAGGCTATTGCAGCCATGATGCGTGCACATGAGGCTGATTCAACGAACTTGGAAGTCCTCCTTGCCCTTGGGGTGAGCCACACAAATGGTGAGTTGTTATATGAAGTCAAGATAACAAAAATATGAATGAGCAACAGAGATATTTATATTCCCATTGTTCCTAGGAATGATCAAAATAGAGAAAATTTAGTAACTTCGTGTTCATAAAATGATCAGAACTGGAACAAGCAGCTGCATTGAAGTATTTGTACAGTTGGTTACGCCATCACCCTAAGTATGGAAGTATTGCCCCTGCAGATCAACCTGAGTCCCTATATTATGCAGATGTAAGGTCCATTGTTTAAATTATCAAAGAATGTATGTACCTATGTTTAACTTTCACCACATTCTGGCTTTGATTGTGTGGAACATACAGGTTGCTAGATTATTTAATGATGCTGCTCAAATGGCACCTGATGACGCTGATGTACACATAGTACTGGGAGTATTATACAACTTATCAAGGGAGTATGATAAAGCTATTGAATCATTTAAAATTGCTTTGAAACTCAAGCCACGAGACTACTCACTCTGGAATAAGCTTGGCGCTACACAGGCTAACAGTGTTCAGAGTGCTGATGCAATATTGGCCTATCAGCAGGTAAACTCCTGCTAACCTATTTTGGAACTTCCCCACCCTCACATGTACTAATTGCATTTGATTTGGACTTGAATTACTGGCATACAACTATACAAATATATGCAGAAAGTACTATCAATGTGCAGTCATGCTTAATGAGTTGTGATTTGGTGTACCCATAAAGAATATGCATATAAAGAAATGTACATGCTTTGAGCGTTGCTCATTATATCTCTGATCTCTTGTTTTCAGGCACTAGATTTGAAACCGAATTATGTGCGTGCATGGGCAAACATGGGTATCAGTTATGCCAACCAGGTAGTTCATTATGCTTGCTTCTAAGAGTTAAAACTTCCCGACATACATGAAATGACTAATCCCTTTGGCATGCCATACCATTTCTAATTTCAGGGTATGTACGAGGACTCTATTCGTTATTATGTCCGTGCATTAGGAATGAATCCAAAGGCAGATAATGCATGGCAATATTTGAGAATTTCTTTGAGGTTTGTTTCCTAATGAACGCATAACTACCAGACAGGCTATTGAATTGTAACTTATACTGGCTTCCATTTTCAGCTGTGCATCACGAAATGATATGATTGAAGCTTGCGATTCACGGAACCTTGATGTTCTCCAAAAAGAGTTCCCCTTATAAATACAAAAAATGTGGCATGCTTCTAACACGTGATCAAATGAGGCATGTGCATGAAGTTGCAAGACCATCCAATTGAGCCGATATTTTCTTTAGTTATTAATATCTTGAATCACAATTACTATTGTTCATCACTTATTTGGATCCCTTAATAATACTAGTGTGGTTCACTCATTCAGAACTAGAGGATCAACTAGCAGCACTTTTCCGAAATTTTATAAAGCTCCAACTGCCACCGGGTAACCTAGAGGTAGGTGTAGTTTGAGAAACACTGCTATGAAGTTGATTGTATGTTTGGAGTGGGGGAAAATAGTCGACCTTGTTAGGGTGGTAAAGAAAAATAAGCTGTTGTAGAGTTCACCATTGTATAAATGTGAGTTACCCAATTTAGTAGTTGTATAACATATAGTGTGTGCATGGATGGCATGGTTGCAAAAATCGCGCCTAGGCGCTAGGCGGTAGGAGGCCGCTGCGAGGAATGGCCTTGGCGGCCTCCTACGCGGCCGGCCGGTTCGATTTTTTTTTTTTTTTTTGGAAAATGTCGGAAAAGTTTCGGAAGGTATAACTTTTGACTCGGTTGTCCGATTTGGACAATTTTTTTTCAAATCGCGTATTTTTTTGAGATCTATACAATGCAAACTGCTAAAGGCGGTTTGGTCCACTAATTTCTCAAAAAAATGCTTCTTTAGCTCTTAATTTTAGTTTTTTATGTATTTAGATGGTTTAAACAATCTTTTGAACAATTTTACAACCACTTTTGTAAATAGTTTCTAAGAAATAACTATGAAAACTTTATGTTTAGTACTAAATTTTAAAAATTTTTAATTTTAAAATTTTTTTTAATTAAAAAAAATTTTTTTTTTTTTTAAAATCGGCGCCTAGGGGACGCCTAGCGTGTTTTGCAACATTGATGAATGGTATTGTTTTAACTTTGATAATGCTGGGATTCTTGGCTGGCTGATTGGTCTATTGATGGAACTGTTGGGGCTAAATTTGCTCCCGTTTCCATTCCTTGCAATATATTTATTTTGTCTCCTATTATATTCCACTGGGAATGTTCCTAAATATGATTTCCTAGTAGAGGAGAGTTGGGGTTGACAAGTGTAGGCAAATTATACCACCGATTAGGGTCAATCATGTATTATGGTTTATGGATCATGGCTCAAAATAACATTCAGATTATGTGTTTGTTTTGTATCCATGTTGACTACATACACATCAAATGGTAATTACAAATACAAAAACTGTTTATATAGAATATGTTAATTATAAATACATAATAATGTCTTTATAGTTAATATGTTATGTGTTTTTAATTTATTTATAAACACAAACGATTAATTGTAGGTACATAATATATTAATTACAGACACATTATTTTTGAATTAGGGTTTACAATGTAATAATGGACCGTGGTCCTTGGTATAACAGTTGAGAAGTGTAGATGACGATATCCGGAGAGCTTTGATGGAACTTTTGAACCTCAAAGTTCTTATGGACTAGCTGTCTAGCTTTATCGCACCTGACCCTAAGTTACTTGAATTGTGTTTTGGCAACGCAGCCTCTTTTAAAACATTCTATAGTTGCTGTTAATAATTTTTGTATATGTAAATAAATTGAATGCATATAAAATAGTAATTATAGACACATAACACGATGATTATATATATATATATATATATATATATATATATATATATATATATATATATATATATATATATATATAAATTATTAACTATAAGTACAAAATATATTAATTGCAGACACGTCCACATGTTATATGTAACATATTTTGTACTTGCAGTTAACATTTAATGTGTCTGTAGTTATCATATTATGTATTTGTAATTATTATGTGATGTCTTCAATTTGTTTACAAGTACATAAATGATTAACTACAAGTATAGAATATGTTAACTGCAAGTACAAAATCTTAATGTTATTTTTGGATCAGAGTCCACAATGTAAGATAGGCATAGATCTATGATTCCATGGTATAATTTGCCATAAACATATACCATATCATGTGTTAATTATATATGCAATTTTGATATTATCAATAAAAATCCACACTATCTTTGATTAAATGATGATCATTAATTATGTTGTATGACATGTTTGAATACAAGGGTTATAATGTAGAGATTTTTTTCCTAAAATGGTCCATCGACTATTGTTTATTCTCAATTTTGCATTTTGACTTTCAATTGTACCAAATGTGACCCGACTTTCAAAAACTCACCCAATTCAATCTTGCGTTATGTATTCCGTCTACTCAGTGTTAAAATAGAGGTCATTTTCGTTCGTTTACCATTGTGCACCTAATATACACTAAGAAATAGTCGAGGGACCATTTTAGGAAAAACTTTTGTATTTATTTCATTTTTGTTTATATTCATTTTTTAAAAATCTTTCAAATTAAAATTTCAAAGTAGATTTTTCTCACAAATATAAATTGTTAAAATTCCACATTCCAACCTCAAAATTTTTAACTTTCTTTACATACTTTTTACCTCTGTTTAAACATACAAAATTTTCCTCTATCCCTATCAAGCTTTACAATAAGTTTCGTAACACACACACACACACACATACAATTAATCACTATGTATCACATTAAATATTATTTTTATCGTTAAAAATAATGTTTTTTTTACATATCTTGGTAAAAAAGTTTTGCTTTCAAATTTATGTTTATTAATATTCATATATAAAATACAAACTTCAAAATGACAATAACTTGTAATTGTGGTAAAGGATGAAGCTTTAGGTTTAAGATTGTTTGTTTTGTGCTAATTATTTTAGCATTTGGTTTGTTTTACTTGTACTTTAACACATAAGAAATTGGTAGTTGTAGACTCTCTTTAGCATGATGTACTGCTTGGTAGCCAGAGATTTGGAATTGGTAGATATGGTTTGTACTAACTTTGGAATAGAACTAATGGCCTTGCGGGCTAAGCTAAGCCAACTTTTCAAAAATATTTTTCAATATTTTACTACTGATTGAGAAGTGAAGCACACTCCTCAGTTCCGAAAAATGCAAGAAGCACCTCTCTGACCGAATAGTGGCCATGTGACCGAGAATGCGAGAAGTAAACTTACATTCCTGTCACATGTGAGATTTTACTTTTCGGCTTAGCCAAGAAGTTTATTGAAAAAATTAACCTTTCGGTCCAACATTTTCCGTACATTTTGCACTCTTTGGGGTGTCTAAACAGGAAAAAAATAATAATATTATTTTCAACAATAAAAATAATATTTAATGTGATACTTAGTGATTCATTGTCTATTGAACTTTTAGTATGATATATATATATATATATATATATATATATATATATATATATATATATATATATATATATATATATATATATATATATATATATATATATATATATATATATCTAATAAGAACATAAAAAGATAAAAATAAAAAGTATATGAGTATTTATGAAAGTTACGAAATGTATTGTAAAACTTGATGGGGATAGAAGAAAAGTTTGTATGCTTAGATCATGGTTGAAAAAAAATCGCCTAGCGTCTAGGTGCCGGTTCCTAGGTGCCCGTGTATTTTTTTTTTATAATTTTTTTTTAAAAATTGTTTATTTGTTTTTAATTTTTAAGACTTGTTAATTATAAATTATTTAATATTTTAATAATTAATACTAAAATATTAAGTATTAACCTAAAAAAACATCTAAAATTTGAACAATTTAGGATTATTTAGCTCAAAATGATGTCGTTTTGAATGAAATAACCCTTAAAAAAAAAAGAGCTAATCGGTCGACTAGGTAACCTAGGCAGTCAGCGCCTAGGCGCATATTAGCGGGATTTTGAACACTGGTTTTGATAGAAGGAAAAAGTCTATAGAGAAAGATAGAAAGTTGAAAATTTTGGATTTGGAGTGTGGGATTATAACTATTGGTATTTGTGAAAAAAAAATCTGCAGAAATTCTAATCTAATTTGATAGTCTTAAAAATTGAAAATAAATGAAAATGAAATAAATAAATGTGTACATAACTCATTATAAAGCATACAAAATGACACATGTTATAAATATAAGTAGCAAAGTACTCAAATAGAAATAAATTTCAAGTTTTGGTATGATCACAAATTAATCTACATTATAAATCTCACTATACTTATATATATAAAAAAAAATGTTTTAAAAAGTTACAAAGTTACCAATTAAAATTAGAAATATATCTCACAAATAATTTTAGTACTATATAATTATATCTTCTAAGAGAAGGGAAATTTTGTAATAGATGTGTATTTTATGAGAGTTGATATACCATGGACCATGGTCCACTTGGTAAGGTGGACTCTAGTCCTAAACGACATATATTTTTAGTATTGAAATTGTGAACTTCTAGAATATAAATTGTGTTTGTAAGTCAAAACACATAACAACTGTAGAAGAGAATTTGCGAATATAATACATGGTCATCAAATCCTAATATGTCAATATTGTGTGACTATAATATTTGAAAGAAACTTGTTAATACAAAACAAGGTAATCAATTACATACATGTTAACATTATGTGTTCGTAGTATACAAATTAAAAAAATTTAAAAGGTAAATTGTGAACATTTGGATCCGAGTATATAATTTGCGTATTTATGAGATGTTCACATCTAAGAACAATAACTATGTAACCTACCAACAAAACTAGAAAGATTATTATTTTTAGCAATATGCATGTATATTACTTTACATATATATACGTATAAGGGGTGGGATGAAGTGGGGTTAGCCCCTTCAAGCATGGTGGAGTTGGATCATTAATCATGATATCTAGCTTGTCTTTTACTAGTTTGCTCTATTTGCCTGTCACCAACAAAAACAAGAGTGGCAACTGCAGCTGCACACACACAATGTTGGAACGACTAAATTAATAAACTACCAAACAAAATAGAATAAAAATATTTAAATTAGATGAAGAAGTAATTTTGTTTTGGATTTACCCGATGATGTTATAAACGCCTGTCCAGCGTGATTGATGGCCTTTCCTATTGAAGGAATTCTGGTACGAGCAATTTTCTGAATTGAATAAAATAAGAGGAAAAATTTCTTTGAATAAAGAATAATAAACAGTATATGTAAAATAATGATAGAGGAGTAAAGATGACCACCTTAAGAAAACTGTTTACATTATTATTAAACAAAAATATAAGTTGTTTACTTTTCCTTTATAATTTTTAAATATGATAATTAAAATTTACCATTTTATGAAATTATGAAATATAATTTAAACTAAAAGATTTAAATAAGTTTTGCTGGTCAATATTTTTATTGCCTAGCTAGTAATTAATAATAATAAAGAGCTATATACCAAGGGAACGCCTATGGCAAGAGCTGCAACTACGGCATACTTTGCTCCTTCAAAAAGTGCATCTACAAAATCTCGCAAACATAGTTTATTAAGTTGATTATTTATTTTTTTTTTTAAAAAAACATAATTAAAGTACAAATTCACAAATAAAAATATAAATGTAAAATGGTAAGTGGTTGTACCTTTAACCACTTGTTGGGCCTGAGCTGTCTTGTCACTTTGGGAAGTAGAACTTGAGGACACCATTCTTTCTTCTTTCTTCAGAATGCTTAGCTTATATATATCTAAGAAATGTAATTAGACTCAAATGCTTGCATTTTATATAACTCCCAACTTTATTGTATTTATATATAGCCTAATAGCCAGGGATGGGGCCTACCTGTTATCTCCATATACTTTCAACCATAATTAACCGAATTCATTGCTCCTCCATCTTTCACCTATTGGTCTTTCTTTTACTCCAACCTTCCACAATTTGAGGTGATATATATATGTCCTTACTGCATTCAAATATATATATATATATATATATATATATATATATATATATATATATATATATATATATATATATATATATATATATATATATATATATATATATATATAGGGGAAATTGTAAAAAATGCCCCTCTATAATATGTCAATTATCAATGTCACCCCTGAATTATGAGTGGTGTAAATGTTGCCCCTCAATTATCAAAATGATGCACATATAGCCCCTCCCGTAACGGAACTGTGGTTCCCCACCGCACCGCTGTCCATCGCTGGTACTTCGAATCAAGAAAGGGAAAAAACAACTAAATTACATATTTACTCCGACTTAATGGTGTCGTACACTGACAGAGAACCACATGTCCGTTACGGGAGGGGCTATATGTGCACCGTTTTGATAATTGAGGGGCAACATTTACACCACTCATAATTCAGGGTTGACATTGATAACTGACATATTATAGAGGGGTATTTTTTACAATTTTTCCTATATATATATATATATATATATATATATATATATATATATATATATATATATATATATATATATATATATATATATATATATTATATATTATATATATATATATATATATATATATATATTATATATATATATAGACTTGCACTCGGGTGCGAACGGCTCGCCCAGGCGCGAAATAGGAATGGATTCTGTTCGTCCACGTGTCCAGATCTAATGGATGAGAAACACTGATTTAAAAAAAAAATACTGTGGCATTTTCGTAAATAATTGAACATCGAGGTGCAAGTAAAATGTATTACAAGTGCATGTAAAATGTATCATAGGTGCAAGTAAAAATTTACACTGAGCATCAATACTTAGTTGCACTTATAGTTCTAAGTAGTTGCACACATAAGTATAAGTAGTTGCATCTAGGTGTATGAATGTTTGCGAGTGGTTTTCAGGAGTATTACTACCCGCGAACTCAAATCAATGAATGTTAACAAGGCAAAATTACATGCACTTATAGGTGAAAGTAGGTGCACATATAGTTATAAGTAGTTGCACCTATACTTATAAATAGTTGCACATATAGTTATAAGCACACCCAAGTGCATGAATGGTTGCGGAAAGTGAATGCTAACAAGGCAAAATTACATGCACTAATAGGTGAAAATAGGTGCACTTATAAGAGATTTTACTTGCACTTCGATGTTCAATTATTTACGAAAATGCCACCGCGTTTTTTTTTTTTTAAGTTATTAGATCTGGACACATGTCGCGTGCTGATTCGTTCGCATTTTCTTCCTGGTCACTTATTCGCACCTGAGTGCGTCCCTATATATATATATATATATATATATATATATATATGTCCTTACTTTTCTTCCTCTCCCATATATATGTCCTTACTGTACTAGTACGTGCATGCATCTTTTTTTTTTTTTTTTTTGGTTATACATATTTTTCTAAGCTTACGTCATACTAATCCTATAACTTGTAGAACCTTGCTTTTAAAATTTCTGTAAATGGTAAATCGCAAATCATACGGGCAACCTTTTAGTCAATTTCCTACTTTGCCGTGCGCGTTGCATCTTTTATATATATATATATATATATATATATATATATATATATATATGTCAAACTAATTCTAGCCCGTAAGATTTCGTCCCTAAAATTTTTAAAGAAGGTAAATTGTGAGTCGCACATAGAGATTTTTAGCTAGTCTCCTACTTTACTGTGCGAGGCTGCGAGCAATATAATTTTATACTGTAGAAAAAATTCTAAAAAAGCATTGTTACGTAGGCATAGTTCCAATCTCCTAATGTCATGACGAGTCAAATTTAATATAATAAAAATGCGTCATAATAGAATGACATATATTGCCTTGTAATTAGGACAAATGGGAAGGAATGAAGTTTTTTGGAGATTAAAGGATGAATAAGATTCCTTATGGATGTTTCTATGAGGAAGAGTCTAATATAGCTTCCAAAAGAGGCATTGAACATGTCCAAGGTGTTTAAAGAACAACCCTTTAAAATTGAATGAAGTCAAGATTTGGAAGAAAGAATGACTGCCAATCCGTACAAGACTCTATACACCATAATTAATTCCATTCAATTCCTATACCCTAGTAGACTCGATCAAGCGACCCTATAATTTAAAGGCTCCTACTTTTCTTCTTCTTCTTCTTCTTGTACAAGACTTTAAAGCAAACATTCAATCTTGTCATATAACATATTTGTAATACTAGTATTTTTATGCACAATGTGTAAAAACATATGTTCGATATTTATATTTTTAAAAATAACTAAAAATTTCTTACTAATTAAAATCTATATAAAATCAAATTTATTTATTATATTAATCAAATATATAATGTCTATCGATATTATTATCATTAAAGAATATAATAAGATATATGGTGGACGCATGTGCATGGTAACAATAATGGAAAAGATAACATAAATTATAACGGTAGGGGTATTTTTATTTAAAAAAAAATTATATAGTACAACTCTAAAAACACAATGTACAAAATGATTAGTACTAAAAACATAGACATAAATTAGGGATATAATAATTTTGATTGAGATTTATTATGTTTTTAGATATTACTTTGCTCCTCCGCTTTATTTTATGTGTTGGTTCAATTAACGAGGTTTAACTTAATTTAGTTTTAATTCAATTTTTCCATAGTGTTAAGTTTATTATTAATATATAAAATGTATATATGTAAAAACTACATTAAAATTACTATTAAATACAAAAAAAAAATGTAAAAATAATTTAAAATGCTAAAGAAAATAAACAAAGAAGAAAAAATTGATTTAACCAATAAATAGTAAACATGACATGTAAAATATGATAGATTGAGTATTATTTTCTCTACCTTCTTATAATTCCAACTCACCTTTAAAATATAATATAATAATCATTTAAATAAGAAAAAGTAAATGGTTAAAAAAAATTCTAAAAAAAAAAAAACTTCAATGAATAGTCTTTGAAATCATTGCAACAATTGAAAATTTACCAAGTAATATTTCTTTAAAAGAATTTTTTTTTTTTTTAAAAAAAATCTAAAGTGGCTGCCCACACAATATTGCAAATTTGCAATACTTTGTATTGCAGGGATGAGGAAAATAATTAAGTACATTTGCAACACATATATAATGAATGACTAAAATACAGAATACTATTTCACCTTTGACCTTATAGGGAATATTTGGATCTGCAAAAGAAAATTGACTTATTTAAGCAATTTTGATGGGTGACAATAAATTAAAATTAAAAAAAAAAAGTTATTTGGAATAGTCTTTTTATGTTAATTTATTACATTTTCTTTTCAAAAATTTAAATTATCCCTAAATTTTCAGAGATGCCTTTTTTCTACCACATGTTTTCTAATCTTGTGGCAAAGCATTCAATTCCCTCATAGGTGGATTTTAAGATAATTGTATTTACATGGCTTAAACGCAAGATCTTTGATTAAGCTAAAAGAGACTTACATGTGCAATCCCATTCACACCCCATGAATTTAATGATGTAGTGATAATAATAATAATAACAATAGTTAAAATATGAGTAATGAATAACAACACCAACAGCACAATGATGATAATAATTTTTAAAATTAAATTACTTTAAATTTTATATCTAAAATTAAAACTAATTTTTAAATAAATAAAATAATATATTCATATCTTTATATATAATTTTACATGTTACTATCTAACAATAAACATCTAATTTATCACCTCTAATACTATTTGTTAATCAAAACATCTAACACAATCCCAATACTATTTGTTAATCAAAACATCTAACACAATCCCGTCAATCGGTTAGTACCATTGTGTTTTAAAGGTTGTACATCCTCACCAAGGAATGACCAATTACTTGCACCTTCCCACACATTTCTCATGAGTACGTGGTGTAGCATTGTAGCAAGCCCAAGAGTTGAAACTTGAAATGAAACTTCCCATTTACTAAAACTCTTTTTTTACATACAAGAGAATTAATCTCGAAACCTCTAATAACACTTCACTTTTTTCGTTACACTCATACTAGAAATAATGAAAAAAAAAAAAAAATTAAATTAAAGTTCAGACTTTATGATCTGATCATACAAGCTACATTTTGTATATATAAATGCATATATACTTGGCTAGCAAAACTAAGATGGAACTGAAGCCTGAAGGGAATCAACAAGTGTTGCAACACTCCTCACTACTGAAGGGGATTAGTGCTTAAATATGAATGATCATTTGGTATAGTAGTGAAGGTAGTAACCTGGGAAGAAGTTCCAGAAGGCAAACTTGAATGATCTGATTCTGAGGATAATATATAATCATATGCAGCTTTAATGTTTTCAGGCCTAGTTTTGGGAGGATTTTTAATCTTGAGATCCATGAAATCAGTTATTAACCCAGGCTTTGTAATCTTATCCTTGTCGACCTCCATCTCCCCGGTTAGCATCTTCACAACTCTCGACATGGAAGGCCGAAGCTTCGGGGCATCTTGAGTGCAGAGAAGCCCGATTTGTAAGAATTTGCAGGCTTGTTCAGCATCAAAAGCCCCGTCCATTGATGTATCTACAAGTAGTACCAGCTCCCCAGTTTCATAAAGTCGCCATACCTGCATTCGAGTTAACTAGTTGTGAACTAAAGCTAATGTCTACAAGAAAAGGTTCAATACTCGCATTTAGAGTGTTTTAGAATCAGAGACTCATCAAGAGATCATTTTCAAAATTCATACAATGCTAAGTCGGGGATGAATGCTACCAGTTAGTAACTTTGTATCTTTGGCACAGATCATAAACTATTAAGCATAAATTGCACTCACTCAAGGACACCATACCCTTTCAAGGAGAAATTGTTCTTCAATGGGTAACCTAGTGTTTGTGTTGCATCTCCCACATACAATTTCAATCAGAAGAACGCCAAAACTATAGATGTCTGCTTTACGCGTCAAATGGCCTCTTATTGCATATTCCGGTGCCAAATAACCTCTGAAGCATGAAAACAAGAATATCAGCTTTATAGAAAGCAATGCCCCCCCGGATATCGCACAACATCATTAACACCACACATTTCTACCTTAGTCAAAACTTATACTATGCAGGATAATAGGTTTAGAAGAAACAGCACACAGTTCAAACAAGTTAGATTCACTAAAACTTACAATGTTCCTGCAACACGTGTACTGAGATGGGACTTGTCTGGTGGAATGAGCTTTGCTAGGCCAAAATCCGAAATCTTTGGTGTCAAATCTTTGTCAAGGAGTATATTACTCGCCTTTATATCTCGGTGGATAATATGTGGTCTCACTTGTTCATGAAGATAGGCCAGTCCCTGTGCAATCCCAATACAAATTTTAGTCCGTGTTTTCCAGCTATACTGGATGCCACTGGACCCTTCACCTGAACGCAGCATGTTTAGCAACATTAGATTTAAAATCAAACCAAACAACAAAGGATGCATTTAAATTACGAGGATTTGACATTCTTGACTCGTTTCATGATCCACAGAGATAGAGAAATAGAGAGATTGGTGCATTAGGAATGTAAACTCATGACTTTTAAAGCAAGCCAACATCAATTGATGAAGAGCATTAACTGTTGAGCATATAACCATTAATGTGAAATCCAACTATCAGCTTAGGCTTTTAGTTGAGATGGAGCACATTCTTCAATTTGGTATCAGAGCCAGACCAAAGGTCATGGGTTGGGTTCGACGCCACCCATAAGCGACCGTCACCCACGTGAGGGGGCGTATTGCCATTGATGTGTTGAGATGGAGCACATGCTTCAATTTTAACAACATTATGAACAATATCTGCTAAACATCTTATTGATTAGTCATTTTTTATGTTCAATAGTTGACTTTGCTTTCAATGCTCTGTAAGATGTACAACCCCAAATCATGAAAGCAGGGTAGACAAAATCTATATGACCATGAAAATAAGCTTTTGAACATTAGAACTGAGATATAATTACCAAGAAGGGTGTGAGCAAGACTGTTGTTCTCAAGATAGTTGTAGACAAGAATTCTGTGATCATCCTCCACACAGCACCCATATAGCTTAACTAAATTTTCATGCTCTATGTCTGAAATCACTTGAATCTCGGTCAAGAACTCTTGCACTCCCTGTCTCGATTTAGCAGAAAGAACTTTTATCGCAGCCATATTCCCATTTTTAAGCCTTCCCTGCTTGTCCAGGGTTTCACGAAAAAGGCAATGTCAGACCGGCAATCAAAACATAGGAGCATGTCTATCATATACTGAACAGAAGGCTAAAGTCTAAAGCACTGCCATATTACCTTATAAACACAACCAAATCCGCCCTCCCCAATCTTACTTGTAGGACTAAAATCATCAGTGGCAACTCGTAGATCCTTGTAGGAGAAGATGCTAACATTTCTTAAACCGTAGAGATCTGTTCACAAGTGTAGCGATTAGAAATTTGAGAAGTACAAAATCGCAATTTCATATAAGTATTAGATAGAATTCGATAGTTTTAGTTCTAACCTTCTTCATGATCAGAAAAATGTGCGGGCGGCGAAGGAATCTTCTTATGAAATAAAAAAGAAAAGCAACCCATCACTCAGGGAACCACCAACAAGAGTTAATCAGTTAAAATAGACAGCAGCTTTGGATAACAATGATTAAGAACCTGCAACATCAAAAGATACCAAATGATTAATTAAGCAATATTTCAAGTTTTCAACAGATTATATCAAATTTAGGGCGAAATATAACATATTCCAGACTTTTACCAAACAGCAATAATAACAATTCAAAAGAATAATTTACAATAAGGATGACAGCTGGACTACAAGATCATATCACTTTAACCTAACGACTACACTTAAGAATCAATTCTTCTTGTCTACAGGAAAAAGGGTTAGGTTAGAGAATAATTATCAGGTGAAATCGCAAAAAGGACAAGAAAATTAGAGGCAACGACAACCGAATCAAGGTTCATCTATAGCTCCGAATCCAGAAACGTTAAAGGTTCAGAAGCAGCATAGATTTCAGAATTGAAAAACAAGTAGTGCAGTAGAAAAGAATGAGAGAAATACCCAGAGGCGAACGAAGAAACTGTGCCCCGGCAAGTTACAGAGCCACAAGGATGATGATGATGAAATACGCAAAAGGATGATGAAGGATAAATTGAGGTTTGAAAGTTGAAAGTGGAAAATATTTAAGGAGGGGAAGGGGTTTTGTTCGCAAATATGAAATATTGATGAAGAAAGTTGATGGTCGTTTTGAAGTCAACGAACATGGCTCTGAATTTTCAATCTCACAGTTCACACTATGAATATGGAGTCATGGAATGCAGCAGAAGACAGGTTAAGGCACAGTAATCGACTCCATTTGGTACACCTAACACAAAATTTTGCTGAAAATTAAATCACTTGAAACTGACATATATGAGTAATCATTTTTTTTTTCCTCCAATCAATCTTCATACGGACATATATGCGTAATCATTTTTTTCCTCCAATCAATCTCCATGATTTTGTGTCATTAATTAGACTGTCTTTAGAAACCCTGCAAACGATTTCTGAAAGTTCTTGTTTGGTAAATGACTATTAGTTGATAGCCGTTAACTGTTAACTATTAGTTATTAGCGGATTGTGCTAATTAGAATTTAGAAGGTATAATTAGTTGATAATATTGTAGAAAAATGTTTGGTAAATTAGTTGTTAGCTGATAGCTGTTTGGTATAATTTCTTTTTTAATTGAAAAAGTTGTTTGGAGTAGCTTTTTAAAATTTAGCATTTTGAAGTTACAAAAAGCTAATTAACAACATACTTGTATTGATATTTTAACTAAATTAAACAATTAATAGTGATCAAATAAACCAAAATTGACATATTGATCAATTTTTTACAAGGGCCAAAATTATTTTTTGAGTTTTCAATATTTGATTGTGTCGAAGGAAAATGACTTCCTTCAAAATTTAGCGGAAAGTCGCTTTTCACAGACTAAAAAATAATTTTCGACCACAATTGTTTTCGAGAACAATCACACAGAGTTTTTTTTTTTTTTTTTAAATTAATAAATAACATTATCTTTAATATTATTATAAATATTTTAATATTCTAAATAAAACAATTAAAAAGTTTAATTATACAATTCGACTTATTTTTAAAAAAATGAACCAAACACATTAAGACAGTTTTCCAGAATGCAACCAAACGCTAAAAAATTAAACTGTTTTCTAAAAAATAATGACTCATTTTTCAAAAGGCATTTTACTGATTTCCAAACATACCCTTAATGGAAAATTCTCGCATGTGACTATTTCACATATCCTCATTCGTAGAACATTTCGACTTTTTTATAAGTATTATATTTTCTCACATAAGTATTAATAGTACAATTTTTATCATATGGTCGTGTTCATGTGCGGCCGTGTGGTTACTCACCTATTAAGTATGCATAAATGCATCACAAAGTGTCCAAAAATGCACTATTAGTTGTGGTACATTATTATTATTATTATTATTATTATTATTATTATTATTATTATTATTATTATTATTATTATTATTATTATTATTATTGGTCATACGCTTGGCCGAGCTCCGTGCTCAGCCGTGTGGAGGGGTCTTTGTGTTGTCCAAGTCTTGCGGTGTCGATTGCAGTCCTAGACGGTTGAGATGACATCCCACCATTCTCCCCGGAGTTGTTACAATGAAATTAGGTGTAAAAACCCTCATTCATGTCCTATCGAGACACAACTTGTTCTAATCCAACACTTTGTCTCGTTGTTACACAATCTCTATATTTGTAATAACATTTCATACTCAGCTCGATTAATACAATATTTGTCTCCGTGACTTAACATATTTTGTCCATTTATTACCTTACAGTTCATTATTATCTCTATCATAATCCGACACTTGTCATTTCTATCATTTAATTGAATTAGTTAATTCGGACCCCGAATTAAGATAATCCATATAATCATAGTTTCAACAAACTAACCGTTTATCTCGAAAATTTCATGATTAGAACTTGAACTCATCCTTTATATAAAGCTATATGGTTTGAGAAATAATTAATGTTACAATTAATGCCACAACATCCTTTATTATTAAAAAAAAAAAAAACACAACATTTAAAAAATAAAATAGCTATATATTATATAATCATATAAAAAATGTGTTCAATTAGAGTTTAAATTTACACATACAAAATTTGAAATTTGCTTTCCAAATGTAATTATTTTAGTTATTATTCGCATTGTGAAAATTGTAATATAGATTAAATACAATTAAGAATAAATCAATGTAATTATGTAAATTTTCTCTAATAGTTTATTTGAATATGCACATAATTAGAGATTATATTAACCATACAAAATTATAATTTTAATTTTAATTGTAATTTTGTATTCTATAAAAATAATAAATACTTGACCAATAGAAGCTCAAAAATGTTATTATGTTAAATAATTTAAAATATTTTAGTTTTTCTATTTTTTATTTATATTTATAATAACATAATTTTTTTTTCGTGCATCGCGCGGGTGAATTACTAGTCTAAATAATATTTTAAAGAGCAGTTAAAATGGTGTGTCACTTTAAAGAATCCAACTACCATTAAAAAAAAAAAAAAAAAAACTCTAAATTTGTTGAAGTGATATATTTAAAGTTCGATTTGAAAGAGGTGTCAAACAATTTACATGACATTTAACAATTAGTTTTGTTCATGGAAAAGAATTGAAAATGAATTCAATTTAACCTTCATAATAAAAAATTACTTAGAATATCTATTCTATTATTTAGTTAGTAAAAGTTGAATTGTTCAAAATAATTAGTATAAAGACTCAAATGTCCATATATAATAAAAAGATATGTGATTATGAATATAAGAATTCAGGTTATATATTTTCTCTAAATAAGTGTTTAAAAATAAAAGACATAAGAAGACTAAATAATTTATTTTTTTTTTAATTTGAGAAATTCATTTTCCATTGAAATAAATGTTTAATCAATCAAAGAAAGTAAAATATATTATTTTTTTCTTCAAACTTAAGAAATAAATTATTCTATGATTTTTATTTTATTTTATTTTATTGCAAACCAAGCAGGTATTAGTTCATAGAATGAAAACGAAAATAATAGATATAATATTTCAGAGAGAATGAAAACGCAATAGAATAATGATATTATCCATGGTCGGTTCACAAAGAAAATTGAAACAAAATTATGAAGAGAATAATATTTATATACATATGCTTGACCAAATCAAATAAATATAGGTAAATGAGACCATTTTATGGATTTTTATCCACGAGATGACTCGAGTTTCTGCTAGTAAATGAACAAGGAAGGTGAAGAAGGGTAATTTGAAGAGTGAAACTTTACTATTCCACTTTTTTAAAAAAGGTTTTTATATATATAGTGGTGCAAATTTACTTTCAAAATCAATGTGTGACAAGTGTTTTATCAAAGTCTTTCTACCTTCATTTTCTAACTTAAATGTGTCTACTTTAAGAATTAATTTTTCATTCACTCATTATCCATTTTGAGTGTACAATATATCAATTTCTTCGTCGTCTCACAACAAAAACTGCAAATCCACTTTGACCCAACCCAAATAAAAAATAAACCCCACATACATTTGTACCACACAATTTACAACAATAAATATATTAATTAATTTATCAAAGAGAACTAACCTAATTCATCAACTTGATTAGATCAACGATTATATAGATGACTAAAACCCCCATCTTATGACAATAAATTACTCTAATAACAAATACAAATTTACAAATAGGTTATTCAACGTCAACTCCCAAATCTTACTCCTATTTTATAATCTTTGTGACATGACATGCCTTGATTGCTTAATTTAGTAATGGACCATGATGTTTATCTATTTTTTTTTTCTTACTCTAATCAAATTTGAACACAAGTGAGAGTAAAAGTTGAAATTATGATTTTGGGAATCTATGAAGTATTTTTATCTACAAATATTAGTGCTCCAATTAACTGTTATGTTAAAAAATATATATATATATATATTCCGTACACTGTTGTATAAGTGAGCAGTACGGTCGCACATGAAAATGCTATGTGTACTCCCATACACAAAATTACCCCATACACTATTGTGTAATTGAAGCATTATAGGAAAATGCTATGTGTATTTTCAATGTTTACTTCCAACTTGTATTTTCACACACAAAATTTTGATGTACACTCTTGTATTGGGATCCATATGAAAAAAATAGCTTATCAGAGTCTGCTACATCAGTAAGTAAAATTTAAGGAGTAAAATTAATTAGGAGTACATGTAGTAAACTCGGTGCATTATGGTGAAAACTGAAAAGGCACCACCACGGCATCGACGACCAAGTTAGACGCGAAGTCGTTGGTCTCCGTCTTCGGTGGGCCGTTAGGGTATGAAGCATATATGCAGTACTAAGGATGCTGTCCCACTTTCTCGTCTTCAGGACAGACATGGTCATGTGCTCAGGTCCCTGTTCTATAAACCCCTGGAAACTTTGAATATTAGGAGTAGGGGACGTGTGCATTGCTTTCCCATTTTCATTCTTCATTTTATTATCAAACTAGCATTTTAATCATTTGAAAATTATGCACATAATTTAATTAAGATCAACGTCAATTCTAACTACATTGTTGAATTTTGATTGCCTAACTATGATGTTCAATGAACGTTTCTAGAAAAAAGAAGGTGTTTTTCTTGTAAACACTATAATTTTTTACAATTTAGTATTTATATCAATGCCATTACCGGTTCTGATACTATGACCACCAATTTATAATGGTAATAGAGTTATCATCACACTAAATAATAGAAAAAGAGGTTCTATATAACAATCAATATAATGTTGTAGAAGACGCTAGGCGCTAGTCGGGGGCACCTAGTGCCTAGGCACGCCTAGGCGCCCTAGTAATCCGAATATATCGTTCTCACTTTTTCCACTTAGAGCTAGGAGCTGCTGTTATAATCTCCCAAATTAGTTAATTGCATATATTAGATGGTTAGTGGAGTACATGACTAGAGAAATATAGAAGAAGATGAGTAGTTGAGTAGACAAACAAACCACTCAACCGAGTTGGCACCAACTCGACCGAGTTAGGCATGCACAGACTCTGTCAAGTTAGACGTTCGACTCGGCCGAGTTAGGCGCTCAACTCGGCTAAGTCGGTGCCTAGTCCGCCGATTAGTTGGTCAGCCAACTAAAAGCCGCCTATAGTTGAAATTGCCTCGGCCTAGAGGCTAGGGACGCCTAGCCGATTTTTACAACACTAATAATAATAATTACTTTTTATATTTTTCAAAAAAAAAAATTACTTTTTATATAATTATAAATAGGATA